ATACCCCGTTTCCTACAGTTGAGAGCTATCTAGACATATTCACTGAATATAAAAACACCGATGAATAATGATCGTTAATTATTTTTTGTTCTAGTACATCAAACTCAATCGTATTGGTTGTGTATGTGGTTTTTCGAATCAAATACTCTACTCATAATAATGGTTACCCTCATTATCAAACCAATAAGAAGCGAGCCATATTCATTAATTGTTAATTATATAAAGTGTAAACTGATGTGAGTATTCATAATAAAGCTGAATATATTTAAATCTGAAAAAAATATAACAGTAAGATAAATTAGAAAATAATAAAAATAGGAATTAAATTATTGATCAATCATCATTTGTTGATAGCTCTAGATTTGGTAGCAAAGAGTGATAAAATTCTTATTAGATTTTCGTAGAAAGCACAAATAAATACTTTGAAGATGTACAATGTCACTAGCTTAAAATAAAAGCAAATTTAATTACATAATCTTCTGTTTTCTAACAAGCATTATACGGTATCACTACTGAACTTTCATAACATTAGTGATGAAGTTGCATCATTCAAAAGAAAAGAATTGCACAACATGCATCTTAATGCAGCTGAAATAGAGTCGTGATAAAAGGAAAGGCACGAGCCGCAATCGGTAGTCAAATCGTAACTTATGTCATGAGCCTGAAGCATTACATTCGGTCCTTCGGGACCACGACTACTGATTAATTCCATACTCGTCAATTTTTTAAATTTATGAACCTATTATGAAGTAAATGTTTTCCGTTTTCTTTTGTTATTTAATTATTATGATGTTTATCTTCAATAAAGGCTAAAATGAGAAACCCATTATGAAAGATATTTCTTTAAAATAACAAATCAAGCATGATTTTATCTCAAACAGATTTTGAATATATTATACGAACAAGTTTCCAAAAAAAACAATTTTCACTACCATCTATTGATAAAAAATGTCGTTTTAATCAACTTGTTTTTCTGTCATTTGAAATTCAGAAATTGACGAGTTTCTAGTAAATAGTTGTCTTTTGTCAACTTTCTGTCACCCAAGATTAAAAATAATCTTCAGATTGAATAATCTATCTAAAAATGATCGGGGTGATGTTGAATGAAAGTCAGTGAAACGAAAATAAAGCCGTTGAAAAAGATGAGAAAATTGTATTATTCCTTGTTTATAAAAATTGTGACACAATACGTGAAAATTTCATTGTCGTGTAAGATTACAAGAAGTATAACACTTCACAGCTGAGATAAAAAAAAGATAACTCTCCAAAGAGTATGCATATCCACTCACCTACAAACAGTGTTGTGCCTGATAATGTGTGTACAGAGTACATATTAATTAATAAATAACGCTCGTCGAGGCTGACTCGCTTAACCCTCGACTGAATAATTTAACATTAAGTGAAAACTGTCTTCTGTTACTCGACTCGTAACAGTCTACTATCGCATACAAGCTCGATTCCAACTTCAGAAATGCAGTTATATTACAATTGACTGTCTTATGAAATTAAAATGTTGCAAAAATTGTTTTGCCTATCAGGATAGTGTTAAAAATACCTTGAGCTTTAATCTAGTCAGTTATTGGAGCAAAATTATTCGTTCAATACAATAAAAAAAACTACGTTGTTGAAAGAAGTATTTCGTAGAATCGTCGGAATCATTGGACCGTGTAATTTTTTGTATATTATATGATTACATTAGCATCAAACGTGTATTTTCATTTATTTCTATCGCTTAATATTTCTAATGATTAGGCAAGTAAATCAATTTACGTGTATCATTAATATAACGTGAAATAGAAAATGTTTCTGACATATTTTACAATTGTATTGTTCATTAATATAGCATTTAATAGATCAAGATATCATTTAGTTTCATTCCTTCGTACCAAATTGACAGCGTATTCGAATTTATATTAAGTTTGAGGATATTTATCCTAAAACTTTTATAATCAACTACATAACAGAAACTTGTTTTATATATGATTAAAGCAAATAAAAATAAATATGAAAAACTAATATCTATTGAATATCATGCACAACATAATCGAAAAAGAAAAAACAAATCTAATTTAAACAATACTAATGCATTAAAACTTCATGGTTATATGAAAGATAAGTAAACTTACGAAGAATGCTAATTGGTTATAGTAAAACTATGCAGTAATAATAAAAATTGCCTTTATTATGTATAAGATTTATTGAAACCACTCTGAGAAACGCCTTTGTGTGTTTGTATATAGTTGGTCAAGCCGTTCCATTTCGGCTACTTGAGATTTATTTGGTTTCATAAGTAAAACTTTGTAATCGAATGGCCGTAGGATAGCTAGATCAACCAAACGTTTCACACGAGATAGTGGTACATATACTGCTGCAATATCATCAGTTTCATTTGGCAGTTTCAAATCAATAACGACTTTATTCAAAGTTTGACCTTGGCTTTTATGTGTTGTAATACAATAAGCAGGTACAAGTGGTAGTGCAGATCGTTTAATTGATAAAATTGTCTTTTGATTTGATTTTGGTTTTTTGTCTTTTGGAAGAATATCGGCAATGTCGACACGAAATGTTTGTTCTACTAACGGGATTGGAATAAGTTTTGGTTCAAGATCTTGAAGTTTGCATTCGATCTTACACTTATTAATCTCGATCAAAGCATATATTGGTCAACGAATAAATTGTGTATTGTTCGGAAACATTTCCGACAAAGTTTCTGTTGACACCGATTCTTCGTGATATACTAATTGTCGAAAGGTTCCTTTAATACCATTGATAAGACCCAGTTCAGTAGCAATATTTTGTGTTAAAATGACAGGCATGCCTGGAACAAAAGGTAGTAAACCAGGTAAATGCTCTGTTTTGCTATCAGATAATTCTAATAAATTTTTAACCAATATTGGATCTTCGATTGGTTTGCCTTTGCAAGTATCTTGCGCGACACCTACCATTAGTGGGTGATCTATTTGAGTTGCATTATGAATTGATGCCTTGTTGTTTAATTTTGTTCGAATTTCATTTCGGAACACGAGAATGGGAGCCTGAAATGACAAAAATAATTTTTTTCTTTACATCGGAAAGTGGATTTACTTTGTTCCATGGCGAATCATGTAGAGATTCTGTTGATGATTTTCCAACAACTCGTGTTTGCAATAATTCATAATCGTCATAATTGCATTGCCCATGACGAAGCCGATCGAGCAGTTGAAGATATCGTAAATCTTCTGTCCGCATCTGTTGTGTAAGTTTCACCACACAATAAATTTGAAGAATTAAAGAACGTGCAACCCGTTGTTGGATTTCTTTTTCAGATGATGGTTTGCCTTGTTTCTTTTTTGATGGTAATGAAAAATCGGTGTGTAATGGTGAATCATAGACTGGCCGGTATTGTAAGTAATCACCAAAAAAGATTACGTTCACACCACCAAATGGAACTTGAGGATCGACATGTTTTGCAGAGCATATTATTCTGTTAAGTTTTGCTAATAAAGTTAAGCCAACCATACTCATCTCATCAATTAAGAGATACTCGACAGGTCTCCATTCTTTTTCAAGTTTGGAATCACCTGGTTTAATGATGCGTGGTTTTCCGGAATTACGTTGTTCACCTAAAAATGAATGAATTGTCATACCATCAATTTCAGCTGCTGCAATTCCAGTAGGTGCAAGTTTTCGCATCATTTGTATTCTTTTTGTAATAAAAAAATATTTTGTGAGAGCACTAATCAATTGTGATTTGACCGTTCCACCACATCCAGGTATGCACATTATGAACTGACCATTATTGTCTTCTAAAATATATTATTTGATGTAATAAATGATGGTTTATTTTATGAAAATACCTTTGCGACATCGACTGTCACCATCAAGATGATTTTTTATTATCAAAAATGCAGCTCTTTGTTCTTTATTCAATGTAAATTCATCAAGGATACTATTTTGAGCTGAAAAATTGTTTTTAACTACAAGTACTGAAGGAATTGATGAATATTTTTCAAAATTGCTTCGATTATTATATGGATTAATGACTGTTATAACGGCATCAGTTACATCATTAAAATCCAATGTATCATCATCTTTAGAGTGTTTGCCCGAAATTAAGCTGCGTCTAACTCGTTCTTTTTCAATCTTCAGTTGGTCTTGTCATTTTGAATTAAGTTTAATAAGATTAGGCGTTGCAGAAACGAATGGTACAATTTGTCGATCGATGACTGTATTTGAAACATGTTGGTCATGTTCTAAAACAAATTATATATGTATTTTCTGAATGATATGGATGATAAAAAATTAATACTTACAATTCATATGATTAAACCGTCCAACCTTTTCCACGGCTTCAACAGTTTCTCGAATATACACATTTTCTGTTGATTTTTTCGTGGCATTAATTGCAGCAGCTGTAAATTCGTCTACATTTCCTATTAATTGAATTAAATCGTCGATATCATCTACTTCGTATTCACTATCAGCATCTTGATTCGATGGTAAAAATGCAGGATCAATCGAATCATTCTCGACTTGTGCTTCAGCAATAACTTGAAGTAAATGTTCATCACGGCCCTTTTTACATTCATGTAAAAGCTGAATATTTTCTATAATCTTCCACGAGTGAGCAGAAATAAGATCTTTTCAAGATTCAAATGCATCTTCCCATGTTTCATTGACGCCACAAAGATCAATTGCATTGCGCCATGGTACAAAAAGTGTGAGAAGTCCTCGATTGTATCGTTCACGAGTGTCATCACGATCTTGTCGAGGAATTTGACGACCATAAAGAACCGGTACATGAAGTTGACTGTATTTCATCAGTATATGTGTTGCTGCTTGAAGATGCTCTTCTTGAAAAGAAAAACGTTCATTAGATGGTCGACCTTTTTGGTTATCTTGTCGTTTTTCTGTCGTAGAAGAGTTTGATAAGTATTTCAAATCTGTTTCATTGATTTTTTTCTGATAAAATGTACCGACAAAATCGTATAAACATGTGTTGTTGAGGTTGTCTGAACGATATTGATAATCAATGCGTGTATTAACAAGTATAAAATTGTTTTTATCTTCTGTCGATTGAACTTGGAAACGTTCTTCGTCGCTATTTTCATCATTAATTATTTCATCATCATACACATCTTCATTGTCAATTACATCTAAATGTGAAAAAAACATACACGTTTTTTTAATCATCATAAATGAAATGAGCTGTTTCGTCTTTTCACATATCAATAAGAAATTATATCTGAATAATTCACCTCGATACTTAATGCTTATCTAAAGCAGTATCGAATTTATATCAATCTAATTTCATCAAATAAAACTTATTGGTGATACAATGCATCAGTGGTGTTCGCACTTTTTCGTTCATCATTATCACTCTTTGTATGATAAATATATCAAACTGTTTGTTTCTTTTCCTTTGATTTTTCACAGATTGCTTATACATTGGGCACTATTCTTCTTTTCCATCGTTACTCTTTCCTTCCTATCTCAGCATGTGTCCGTGCTCTTAACTAATTATCACATGTCAACTTTGATGCTCAAACTGTATCTATCATGAATTATCTTTCTTCCTCTTTCTTTTTTTTCTCCTCTCCCTCTTCTTTTCTTCCACTCTTTACTACATATCTTTTTTTTCTCTTCACACTCCTCTTTCTTTTTCTCGTTCTCTCCTCCCATTTTTCTCTTCTTCTTCTCTTTTCTTTCTCTCTTTCTCTCTATATCTCACACTGCATATGTATAAAAAAAAGGATTGTCACTGTATAAGAGTCCGCTGAAAAATATGTGTATAAAACCAAATAATTAGTTTTACCATGTGATGCTAGTTGGAGATTTTGTTTCGCGCGCATTTCATTCAATTCAGTTTGTAAAAATCGTTCAGCTTGAATTAAATAAAGACCTTGAAACTTGTATGTTGTGTAATGGTCATTCCAATTCATAAGATAAGAAGCAACTTGAACACCAGATAATTATTGTTGAGAAGCAAGTGTATTATAGCAACGCAGAACGAGTTTACGTGATTTTTCAATTATATTTTCGTTATCTAATTGATTGTTTGAATTTTTGTAATGATGTGATACTTTTTTGTACAAGAGAAAATGTATCATGAAAAGATAGACTCATCTTGGTAATGTAATCAGTAATGTAATAAACTAAAGCTTTAGCATCACTACCAGTCCAAATAAATTTAATATCAATATTGGAACGGCAAGCTGAAATAAGATATTCGTTGAAATTGTTGATCCATGGATCTGATCGTCGCATCGAAATATGACCTGTATCAGGATCGATTGTCGACACTGGTACTAGTTTTCGTGGCATACGCATACAACAAATCTTCTTGTTACCTCGATTCGCATTATAATATTTGTAACATCTGTCACTATGTTTATGAGTGTTGCCCGACTCAACGAGTTGTGTGACATCAGCACGAAATCGTGATATAAAATTAGGCGATGATGGATTCGGAGTAGGTAAGCAAGCTGGAAGTAGGTTTAATTGATTATATGAAATATTCATATCTGAAATATATTAATAAATACTGTTCTTTATCAAATATTTACTTATCCTACCGATTGTTGATCGATCATGTGCTGGTGTTTGTGGCAATGGTGTTACTATTGGAGACCTATAAGAAATTGATGGAGAAGATTGGTATTGTTTCGCCGGTGTTGACGGAATAGGAAATTTATCTGTATTTTCTGCAAAGCCTGTCAAATCAATAGTACGTAAAGCGGTATAAATATTGTCTTGTGATAATCGTGTAGGAGTGTTGAATGACCTCGGCACTACTACAAAGAAAGGAAAGGTGAATGGTCGAATAAAACAAAAATAATTCATACCATCTGAAGATTCGATGACTTGCTTATCTTTGAAATCATCTAAATCTTCTTTGATAATATCTTCTAAATATGCTTTTAACTTATTACGAAAAGTAGCATCTTGAATTTTTTCTTTCATATCAGCTGGTTTCATATCATGATCAAGCCAAATAAGGAGATGTAAATGAAGTGAACCTGGGCCTTGACTTTCAACAGTACCGAAATAAGCCTTTACTGGTCCAAGAACACCACCCATAATCATAGTACCTAAAATATTGGTAATTAATAAGTGAAAAAATTTGGCGGTGCTAACTGGATGAGATGCTATAATTTCAGCTCTTCTGTAAGTGTCCATAAGTTGTTCATTTTGAACGTTATCTAGATTGAGTTTAACGCCGGCAAAATATAAAGCTACAGGGCTGTGGGTATCGGCTGGATTTAATGTAAGAAATATACTGGGTAGACCTTGACTAAAGATAAGTCCATGAATTCGGGTGCGTAAAGCTGTTCTTGAATATGCTGAACCCATAACTCGACCACCAACAGTTTTAATATGTTGAAGAAGTTTATTTAATGCACTGTTTGATCCTGTATTATACGTTCTTTTGGAATTGTTATCAAGTGCCATTTCAATATCTTTACTATTCAAAGTATGAATTTCATTAGCATTTGCTTGAAAGTAAGGTTTTGTTGCTATTAATTGAGCATGAAAGCAAGCATCACGTCTTTGCAATAAGTTGAAGACCACAGATATGAAACTATGATTTGTTTCAAAACGGCGATTATTATAAGATAATAGATAACATATATATTCTTTGAATTTGATTTCAATTGGACGTGATTGATCTTCTGATGCTCCACGTCCATAGCAGAATAAAGCTGGATATAAACCTGTTAACAATTTTGGATTGAAATATTCATTAACAGGTTTCGACGAATGTGGAATTAAGTAGACGTTTTCAGTAACTGTTTGATCCTTATTTTCATTATTTTTTAGTTTGTGCAAAAAGTAATTAGCAATCTCATCCGAAGATATCGATGAGCCATTGACATCGAGAACACCACTAAAATAGAGAAGCTATATGAATTTATTTATTGATTAAGTACTCTTACCTGTTACTGATAGGTATGACATCTGCAGTAGTGCATTCTTTTGGATTCAATAATGGATCAGGAACATATCCAGTTCTTTCGGATTGAGCTTCTTCATCGCCTATTTTTTGTTCTAAGGTTGACATGATGCATTCTGGTACATCATCTTCTGGTAATTGAGCAATATTTTCAAGATTTATATTGACGTTTTGATAAAGTATATTATATTTTTTCAACCATTGTAATGCTTGAATAATTTTCTTCTTGCGTACTGTCAAAACTTTTTTAAGATGAAGACGATCAGGTGGTCGAGCTCCAATAAAAATTACTTTAAGTGTATCACATAGATCGGCAAGTGTAAGTGGCAAACTATTGACGACATTTGGTACATTTTGAAGAAAAGTAATACAATTTCCTTTCAATGCTGTCTGAGCAGTTATAGCTGAATGAAAAGGTGACTGAAGTTTTATTACACAGCTATTGTGATGATAAAATGAGATTAATTTTTCTTCTGGAATTGTTAGTCCCTGTAATTCAGTAGGTATATCACCTAACCACATGTTATTAGCAGATGAAAACTTTGGTATATGTTCTTTAGAAAGAGAATTATGGCATTTTTGACAAAGAACACACATCTGCACTCGATTTGTTTGAAATAAGCCGCTTTTGTACAAGATAATATCATTCTCACAGTAGAAAGATGACGAACGAAAATTCGAATGATCTAAAATGAGCAATTCTGTATAAATTTTTAAATTAACTTAATTATATATACTTTTAATATGTGATGTTGTCTGTATGTTGTTATCATCCGTGAAGATGGCAGTATTTTCACCTGAATTTTTAATTAAAGTTTTAACTTCTTCAGAAACTTTAAGTAAATGAATATTAGGAATTTTTGAAATTGGTATTTTTTTCGAATCTTTTTCTGGAGTACGAATATTACAAACTGCACAAGTAATTTCAGCCAATTTTGACATGGACATCTGTTCTAAAAATTGTTGCAAACGAGTGTCTTTTAAATCACGAGGAATTGGTTCAGGCCAAGGTGAACGAATAGAATCTTGTCCAGTACCAGTGTTTTCGTTCTTCTGTTTGTCGAATTTCTTTTTAGTTCTATTCACCTGACTTCGTTTCTTTTGCTGTTCGAGTCGAATTTGACGTTGCTCTTGTGATTCATTTTTTCGATTTGATTGGGTTCGTTCTCTATCCTTCTGAAGACGATTTTGGCACTGTTCTTCTGTTTCTTTTATTCGACTGGAGCGACTTCGTTCTCTATCCTTCTGAAGACGGATTTGCCGTTGCTCTTCTCTTTCATTCATTCGGCTGGATCGACTCCATTCTCTTTTTTTTTTAAGTTGAATCTGACGTCTTTCTTCTTTATTATTCTTTTCCTTTTGTATTGAATCTGAAATATTTGATTGAACAGAGTCATTTCCGACGTTGTCCCCACTTCGTAAGCGTCTACTAGGAGAAGATTGAAATTCAGGAACCCTTATTTGAGTAACAGTATTGTTCTTAAACGTTTTCTTTTCAGGAGTCTAAAAAAATTCAAAAATTTCTCTAATTCGTGTGTGCAAATATATCACCTACCACAATAGTTGATGTTGACATATTGCTATGATCAGATTCATCATACATAAATGATNTAACAATTTTAAATATTCATATTAGAATTTCAGATAATCAGCAAATAAATAAATGGAAATGGACACAAGATGAAAGGCTTCTCTGTCTCTCTCTCTCTCTCTCTGTGTGTGTGTGTGTGTGTATGTAGACACCAATCACATACAATCATATGAGAGACATCTGTTATATAAACAGTAAGTGTACAGAGGGCGTTGTATTCTGGTTCAATACTATGCGTTGTCAATAATAGAGGACAATAACTCACTCTGTATGACATAGAAAAAATTTACTTAAATTTTAGTCATATGTTAATACACTTGAGCTAGTTCACATCACTCGGTGTAAATCATAAGTACCTTAGTTGACTTGTAATTCATTTCAATAAAATCGGTGAATTTCTGTAGGACATTCGCCAATTGGCGAAGTAATAGTATGACACTCGCCAATACATAAAACAATTTTATATTACTACGTTTGCCAAACTAGCGAGTTTCCTCAGGAATTTCGCCAACTGGCGAAAAGTACAATTGGCGTTAAGCTGAATTAGCGTTAAGATTTTACCCCGAAGAATATTAATATATAAATAACACTAGACCTTTCGAATTAATTCTTTTTCAAGCAATTCTTTACATAAAGGGGTAATCGAATACAGGTGAGAAAAAAGCATTTGAATATTGCAGGAACGACAAGACAGATTGTGGATATTGATGTGTTGTTGTATTTTTATGTATTTTTATGTATTCTTTACATTTTTGTGTGTTTCAATGTGATTTAATGCAATTAGCTGCATCTTAATGTATTTTTCACATTCGTTGTTGGTATTTCAATGCATTCATTGGTGTTTTTAATGCATTTTAATGCATTTTTGGCAATTTTTGGCAATTTTTAATCTTGATGAAGAGTTTTCGTAATGAGTTTTTGATAGTTTTCTGATAATGTATTTTAATTCGTCTAATAAAGTTTATTTATTTTATTTTTTTATATTCTTGGAATAATACGTTTTTTTATATTATTTTTTATGATTGATGCAATCAGAGTCGTGATTGGCTTGCTATATATATATATGGTGATACATTGGAACACATAATGGTGGTCATTTTATATATGATATTAAATAGAACGCTGGAATAGGTATTCACGGCACAATGAGCATATTAAGGAGTGGTATACTATGATAGATGTGGTGTAACATAAATGAGAAAACAAAATTAAGAAAACAATAAGAGAACAAGTAACGTTCGTCGCTTCGACTCACTTGGCCCTCGACTGTGTAGGACAGAAGTATTCTTTTCATATACTAATGGTAATAGGACCGATCTCGATTCGATCTGAGTTGTGACTTAAATTTTTCATCTTGAATTGAGAGTGTACAAAATACCGTTTTATCGTTTTGTAATATAATTTTACTATGAATCTCATTGTTCAACTACAATTTATAATGAAAGTTACATCATTTATATCTAAGTCAACTTTCCTTAATATAATCTTCTAGTACATAATGAATAGTATGTATTTTAAAGTGATTATATGACGAACCATGTCAACACAGATTGGTAATGTGCACACATGTTATAGATATAAGAATCTTTAAATTAAAAGCTTCATTTTATTAACAGCACACAAGTATAATTGATTTATTTGCAATAATGAATATAGAAATGAGTAAAAAAAAAGAAACATTTGAAAACATCTTTCTATAAAAATGCACTTCAAAAAAATGAAAAAAAAACGAAATGCATGATAATAGAGCAACACAAATTACAACACGAATAGAATATACATTGAGAAATATTTAAAAACATAAGAAATAAATCATGAAAAGTGAACAATAAAGATGCGAAAACTCTAACATGAACTATATATGAAAAGCGTAAGCTATAACAATTATAAACAAAGCTTTGTACAGTAAAGAAAAAAAAGTTAAAACCACTCTGAAAAACGACTTTGTGTCTCCAAATATAATTTATCTAATCTTTCTATTTGGGCGAGTTGAGATTTACTTGGTTTCATTAATAAAACCTTGAAATCAAAATGTCGCAGGATGATCAAATCAGCTAAACGTTTCACACGTGATAAAGGTACGTAAATTGCGGCGATATCGTCAGTTTCATTTGGTAGTTTTAAATCAATTATAACATTATTTAAAGTTTGGCCTTGACTTTTATGTGTCGTAATAGAATAAGCAGGTACGAGTGGTAATGCGCGCCGCTTTATTGATAAAATTACTTTTTGATTTGATTTTGATCTCTTCTTTTTTGGTAATACATCAGCAATATCAATACGGAATGTTTGTTCCATCACAGGTATTGGAATGATGTTTGGTTGACGTTGTTCGAGGTTACATTCGATTTTTGATTTGATAATTTCAATCAAAGCATATAAAGGTTTATAAATATATCTTGTATTGTTGGGAAATGTTTCGGAAAGAACATTTGTTGACACAGAATCTTCTTCATAGACAAGTTGTCGAAAGATTTCATTCATTCCGTTAATAAGACCAAGTTCAATAGCAATATTTTGTGTTAAAATAACGGGCATTCCAGGAACAAAAGGTAAAAGACCTGGTAAATGTTCCGTTTTACTATCGGATAATTCTAATAATTTTTTAACGAGTGTTGGATCATCAATTGGTTTTCCTTTGCAAGTGCCTTGAGCGACACATACCATGGGTTCTTGTCTCATTCGCGTTGCTTTATGAATTACTGCTTTATTGTTCAAATGTGTTCGTACTTCATTTCTGAACACAAGAATCGGAGCTTGAAAAGACAAAGATAGAAAATTATTATAAACAAAAACAAAGACTTACTTTATTCCAAGGCGAATCACGTAAAGATCCTACTGATGGTTGTCCAACAACTTGTGTTAATAATAATTCATAATCGTCATAAGTGCATTGTCCATGACGAAGTCGTTCGAGAAGTTGAAGGTATCGTGGATCTTCTGTTCGCATTTGTTGAGTAAGTTTTACGACGCAATTGATTTGAAGAATTAAAGAACGTGCAACACGTTGTTGAATTTCGTTTTCATTTGGCAATTTACCGGATTTCTTTTTCAACGGTAATGAGAAATCAGTGTGTAATGGTGAATCGTATGCAGGTCGATATTGTAAATGGTCACCGAAGAAAATAACATTTACACCACCGAATGAAACTTGTGGATCGGCATGTTTTGCAGAGCAAATGATTCGATTAAGTTTTGCTAATAAGTTTAAACCAACCATACTCATTTCATCGATCAGTAGGTATTCGACGAGTCTCCATTCTTTTTCAAGTTTTGAATCACCTGGTTTGATGGTTCGTGGTTTTCCAGAATTACGTTGTTCACCCAAAAATGAATGAATTGTCATACCACCGATTTCAGCAGCAGCAATTCCATTACGTGCAAATTTTCGCATCATTTGTATTCTTTTTGTAATAAGAAAATATTTACTAACAGCACGAATAAGTTGTGATTTGCCTGTACCGCCACATCCAGGTATGCATATTATAAGTTGACTGTTATTATCATCTAAAAATACAGTATATATCAATTCGTAATAGACTATATTGTAAAAATACCTGTACGACATCTACTGTCACCATCAAGATGGCTTGTAATAATCATGAATGCAGCTCGTTGTTCTCTATTTAATGTAAATTCATCAGCGATCGTTTTTGGAGTGGGAAAGTTTGTTGTGACTGAGACCACTGGAAGAATCGAGCCATAATTTTCAAAATTGTTATTTTTATAATTATTTGGATTCACCACTGTTACAACGGCATCTTTTGCAGCATGTAAATCTAATGTATCATCTGCTTTGTCATAGTTGCCTGTAATTAAACTTCGTCTAACTCGTTCTGTCTCAGTCTTTGGTTGTTCTTGCCATTTTGTGTTTAGTCGAATAAGATTTGGTGTTGCAGAAACGAACGGTACAGCTTTTTGATTTGGATAATCGATAAATTCATTTGAAGAAGGTTGATGATGAGCTAGCTACAAAAAATTTTACATATTTATTTTCAATTTTAACTTACTAATCATCGTTCAGTGATACTTACTATTTAGATGACTGAATCGGCCAGCATTTTTGACTGCTTCAATTGTTTCTGCGATATATTTCTCTTCTGTTGATTTTTTGGTAGCATTAATTGCTGCAGTTGTATATTCATCTAAATTGCATAGTAATTCTAATAAATTTTCACTATCGTCCATATCACCTTCGCCATCAATATATTGATTTGCAGGCAAAAGAACAGGATCGATTGCATCATTATCAGTTTGAGCTTCAGCAATAACTTGAAGTAAATGTTCATCATGATCTTTTTTGCATTCATGTAAAAGTTGAATATTTTCTATGATCTTCTATGAATGAATAGAAATACGATTTCTTCGAGATTTAAAAGCATCTTCCTATGTTTGATTGATATCGCAAATATCAGGAGCCGTACGCCACGGTACAAAAAGTGTAAGAAGAGCTCGACTATATCGCTCTCGAGTATCTTCACGATCACGTTGAGGAATTTGTGGGCCATAAAGAATAGGTACATGTGACTCACTGTATTTCATCAATAAATGTGTTGTTGCTCATGGATGTTGTTTTTGGAAAAAATAACGTTCATTAGCTGGTCGACCTTTTTTGTTACCTTCTTCTTCTTTTAATCATATAGCAGTCTTCGATAAATATTTTACATCTGTTGCATTCATTTTTTTCTTGTATAATATACTAACAAAGTCGTATAAACACATATTATTAAGATAATCGGTACGATATTGATAATCAATTCATGTGCTAACAAGTACGTATTTTTTCTCGTTTTCAGTCGATTCAATTTGAAAATGTTCTTCGTCATCGTTTTCATTATCAATTATCTCATCATCATATACAACATCGTTGATCATGTCTGTAAACAGAACACATTATATATATAATTTTTTATCGAATTATGATATTTTAACTCAAGAAATTTCCACTGCTTTCTTTGGTTACTTCATAATAATAGTTACTACTAATTGATCAAATAAAAAAGATAAAATACTAACCTTGCAATGAAAATTCCAATTTTCGTTTGAAGGGCATTTCATTTAATTGTGTTTGTAAATATAGCTCAGTTTGAATTAAATAAAGGTCTTGAAATTTGTGTGTTGTATAATGATCATCCCAATTCATGAGATAAGAAGCAACTTGAACTCCAGATAGTTCTTGTTGAGAAGCAAGTGTATTGTAACAGCGTAAAACGAGTTTTCGTGATTTTTCAATTGCATTTTCTTTGTCTGTTTGATGCGATGAATTCATAATTGATGTAATACTTTTTTGTACAAAAGCAAATGTATCATGAAAAGAGAGACTCATCTGTGTCACATAATCAGTAATATAATAAACGAGAGCCTTTGCATCACTGCCACTCCAAATAAATTTGATATCCATGTTGGAACGACAAGCGGTGATGAGATATTCATTAAAATTATTGATCATTGGATCCGATCGTCGCATTGAGATATGACCAGTGTCTGGATCAATCGTCGAAACTGGTACTAACTTGCGTGGCATACGCATTCGGCAATTTTTCTTGTCGCCTCGATTAGCATTCCAATACTTATAGCATGTGTTGCTGTGTTTGTGAATGTTACTTGCTTCGACAAGTTGCACAACATCTGCACGAAATCGTGATGCAAAATTAGGTGACGATGGATTTCGAGTATGTAAACAAGCTGGAATTAAGTTTGATTTGTCATGTAAAGTATTCATATCTAAAATATCAATCAATGCTTTGTGTTTTTTAATAATTTACTATACTCTACCGAGTGTTGATCGATCATGTGTTGGTATCTGTAACAATTTATTCGATGACGAAGAGGCATAAGCAATTGATGGAGAAATGTAAGGAATCGATGGAGAAATTGGTTGTTTTGCTGGGGTGGACCAAATAGGAGATCTATATATATTTTCTGAGAAGCCTGTCAAATCAATAGTACGTAAAGCGGCATATATATTATCTTCTGATAATCTTGTAGGAGTATTGAATAATCTCGGTACTATAACAAAAAAACAACAATCGATATTCAAATAAAAGAAAAACATTTTATACCGTTTGAATATTTAAAGGCATGTTTCTCTTTAAAATCATCTAAATCTTCTTGAATAATGTCTTCTAAGTATGCTTTTAACTTTTCACAAAAAATGACATCTTGAATTTTCTCTTTCATATCGGCTGGTTTCATATCATGGTCAAGCCAAATAAGGAGATGTAAATGAAGTGAACCGTGACCTTGACTTTCAACAGTACCAAAATAAGCTTTTATTGGCCCAAGAACACCACCAATAATCATAGTATTTAAGATATTAGTAATTAATAAATGAAAAAACTTAGCAGTAGCAACTGGATGAAATGCTATATTTCAGCTCTTTTGTAAGTATCCATAAGTTGTTCATTTTGGATATTGTCTAGATCAAGTTTAATACCCGCAAAATATAGTGCTACGGGACTATGGATATCGGCTGGATTTAAAGTAAGAAATATGCAGGACAGTCCTTGATTATATATAAGTGCATGAATTCGGGTACGTAAAGCTGTTCGTCTATATGCTAAACCCATAACTCGGCCACCAATAGTTTTAATATGTTGCAACAGTTTGTTTAATGCATTGTTTGATTCTGAATTGTACATTCTTTTAGAATTATTGTCAAGGGCTGTTTCAATATCTTTATTACTCAAAGATAGAATTTCATCATCAGATGATTGAAAGTAAGGCTTTGTTGCTATCAGCTGAGCATGAAAGCAGGCATCACGCCGTTGCAATAAATTGAAGACTACAAATATAAAACTGTAATTTGTTTCAAAACGACGATCGTTATAAGATAATAGATAACGTATGTGTTCTTTTAATTTTATCTGAACTGGACGTGATTGATCTTCAGGCGCTCCACGCCCATAACAGAATAAAGTTGGATATAGACCTGTTAATAATTTGTGATTGAAATATTCGTTGACAGGTTTCGATGAATGAGGAATTAAATAAACATTTTCGATATCCATCTGATCCTTGTTTCCATTATTTTTAATTTTGTGCAAAAAATAATTAGCAATTTCCTCTGAAGATACTGATGCGCCATTGACATCAAGGACACCACTAAAATAGAAAAAGATCTATGAAACAATTGATTTATTAATTGGCCTCACCTGTTACTAACAGGAATAGTATCTGCAGTAGTGTGTTCTGTTGGGTTGGATAATGGATCAGGAACATATCCAACTCTTTCAGATTGAATTTCTTCATCACCTAACTTTTGTTCTAATGTTGACATGATGCATTCTGGTACATCGTCTTCTGGCAATTGAGCAATATTTTCGAGATTTATCTTGACATTTTGATAAAGTACATTGTATTTTTTTAGCCAGTGCAATGCTTGAATAATTTTCTTCTTGCGTACTGTTAGGATTTTTTTAAGATGAATACGATCGGGAGGTCGGGCTCCAATAAAAATCACTTTAATTGTATCACATAGATCGTCAAGTGTAAGTGGTAAACTATTGACAATATTTGGTACGTTTTGAACAAAGGTAATGCAGTTGTAGTTGAATGAAAATGTGAATGGAGTTTTATTATACAGCTATTGTGACGATAAAGTGATATTAATTTTTGTTCTGGAATTGGCAATCCTTGTAATTCAGCAGGTATATCATCTAACCACATATTATTTGCAGCTGAAAACTTGGAAATAGATCCCTTCGAAAGAGCACCATGACATTTTTGACAAAGCACACACATGTCCACTTTATTTTGTTGAAATAAACCACTTTTGTATAAGATTACATTGTTTTGATAATAAAATGACGGTGAATCAAAAGTTGAAGGATCTGAAATAGTTATAAAGAGTTTGTATGAATCGTTAAATCATAAAAATGATTTATTACTTTTAGCATATCCAGTTATCTTTATATTGTTGTTTTTGGCGGAGATTTCTCTGTTACTTCTTGAATGTTATAGTGATGGTGATTGGATATTTATAATTAAATCATTCAGTTCTTCAAAAACTTCAAGTAAATGAATATTTGGAATTTTTGAGATTGATAATTTCTTCGAATCTTTTGCTGGAGTACGAACATTACAAACTGCACAAGTAGTTTCAGCCAGTTCTGACATGGACATTTGTTGTAAAAATTGTTGCAACCTAGTTTCTTTCAAATCACGAGGAATTGGTTCAGGCCAAGGTGGACGAATGAAGACCCGCATGCCGTTATTTTCTTGTTCAGTATCAATGTTTTCATGCGTTTGTTTTTCAAGTTTCTTTTTATTTCTATTCGTTTGGCTTCGTTTCTTTTGCTTTTCCAGTCGAATCTGATATTGTTCATCTGTTTCATTTGTTCGACTGGATTGAGTTTGTTCTCTGTTCTTCTCGAGTCGAATTTGACGTTGTTCTTCTGTTTCATTCATTCGACTTGGTCGACTTCGTTCCCTTTTCTTTTCAAGTCGAATTTGACGCTGTTGTTCTTTATCATTCTTTTCCTTTTGCATCGAGCCTGAAGTGATTGATTGAGTTGAGTTATATCCAATGTTATTTTCACTTCGTAAACGACTACTAGGAGAAGATTGAAATTCAGGAATTAGTATTTGACTAACAACATTATTCTTAAATGTCTTCTTTTCAGGAGTCTAAAGAAAATTTGCAACATTCTCAAATTTTTATTTAAAAATCGATAACTCACAGCAGCGAGTGATGTTGATTGACTACCATTATTAGAATCATTACGAATATCTCGTGAAACGAGTGGAACAAAATGATTTGGATTCCATTGACCATTATTTATTTCTCGAGCATTTTCTTCGTTCAAGACATGGGACCACAAAATTGCAATATCATAATTAGCAATAATAGGTGGAACAGGTGTAAAAGCGTTATCCCAAATTGCCATATATTGTTGAAAATCGATTTTTGGATAAACACTTCGTGTGTTACATTGCAGTACATTGCATAGCGCGACAATTTGACATAATTCAGAAAATGTATAACTTTTGCAAATAGCCTTGATACTGACGTCGATAGGCCCAATGTATTGTGAATACATAGTTTCATAATAGTTTTCATTTGTTATAAGTTCAATAACTGTTCGAACTAAAAATTGTTTTAAAAAATAAATTATACAATAATATAAAAGAAAAAGAAATCTTTATACCTCGTAATTCATTTGTTGTTATCGGTGGATTATTTATCAAAAGAAGAATAGAATGGTATAAACAGTTTCCATCAGCAATGACATCGACTGGAACAAGATCTTGTATATCACCAGTTGCTTTTTCAAGATATTCCTCAGCTACCACATCTACTGCATGTTTTGTCTCATCAAAGACTTGAATAGGATGGAACTGAAGTGGTATCATAATTGATTCAATCTACAACGTTTTATATATTAAAATTTAATCATCATTGTAAAAAGACTCACTTGCTTAATCCGTTGGACAACAGAATTAATTTCATCGTGGTACATAATATTTTCAGAGCATTTTTCCAAAATTTGAAGTAGTCGGGTGAATTTTAGACCACGATTCATTTGGTCACATTGTGAGCAAGAATAACCAGCACACAATGTAGTACAAAATAAACATCGTTTGTTCATATTTTATTTGAATAATTTCACTTTTATATTATAATCGGAATGTAGCGTATTTCTGAATTAAATCAGTTATTTAAAACATTTCAATTACAAAAAAATTATATTTTATATGTTAATATATTTTAGACAAGTGTCAATATATAACAAAGCAAAATACTTAGGGGTACCCAAAAGTAGTGGCGGAGGTATCTTATTTTCTTATAAAAGGCTTGAGTAAATTTTCTTTTTCTATAGGATGATAGAGAAAATGAAGCTCTATTTTTCTATGCTATTTCATCTGTATTTATCTAGTGTTATGATAATGAAATTCTGACAACAACTAATTTTGTGTAAAATATAACCCTAATGTTGAATCATATTTTTATCCATGTGCATTTTTGTTTTTGATTTTTTCTTTGTTNAATAACTTGAAGTAAATGTTCATCGCGGTCCTTTTTACATTCATGTAAAAGTTGAATATTTTCTATGATCTTCCATGAATGAATAGAAATACGATTTTGCCGAGATTTAAAAGCATCTTCACATGTTTGATTGACGCCACAAAGATCAGTAACGGTGCGCCAAGGTACGAAAAGTGTGAGAATAGCTCGACCGTATCGTTCTCGAGTATCATCACGATCTCGTCGAGGAATTTGTGGACCATAAAGAACAGGTACATGACGCTCACTGTATCTCATCAAAATATGAGTTGTTGTTTGTGGATGCTGCTTTTGAAAAGGATAACGCTGATTATGTGGTCGACCTTTTTCGTTAACTTTGTCTGTCATCGATGCCGCAGATACAGATAAATATTTCTAATCTGTCGTATTCATTTTTTTCTTATACAATGTGCTGACAAAATCGTATAAACACATATCATTGAGAATATTGGAGCGATATTGATAATCAATTCTTGTGTTAACGAGTACATATTTTTTATCATTATCAGTTGAGTAAATTTGAAAATGTTCTTCGTCATTGTTTTCATTGTCATATACATTATCGTCAATTATATCTGAATAAAAAAAGACAATATATATTGGTTATTATTTAATGATGAGATTTCATCTCCAGCAATATTTGCTGTTTCGCATTCACATGTGCAGTAGAAGTAACAGGTAGAATATTCTTTTATTGTATAGTGTAAGATTTGAGTAACATCAAATAGAATATTTCGACGATAGAGAAAGACGGAAGGGAGAAGAGAAAAAATATGGTACTAGTTCTTCGTACGACAGCCAGTGGAAAGAAATCTATATGGTGAATACCACTAATGCAGGTGTAACGACACCAAAAAATACTTTTGATGAATAAAAAACCATTAAATCAAATGTTAGAGACAAGCTTGTCTCAGTTCTCACTTCCTTTTCACGACATATTCTGTGATAGCTTTTAAGATTATTACTAGTAAACGATTGAATAGAAAAAAAATAAAATACTGACCGTGTGCCAAAAATTCCAATTTTCGTTTGGAGCGTACTTCATTCAATTGCGTTTGTAAATACCGTTCGGTTTGAATTAAATAAAGACCTTGGAACTTATGTGTTGTGTAATGATCATTCCAATTCATGAGATAAGAAGCAACGTGAACTCCAGATAGCTCTTGTTGAGAAGCAAGTGTATCGTAACATCTTAAAACGAGCTTCCATGGTTTTCCAATTGCACTTTCTCTATCTGTTTGATGCGACGAATCTATAATTGATGTTATACTTTTTTGTACAAGAGCAAATGTATCATGAAACGAGAGAGTCATCTTTATCACATAATCAGTAATATAATAAATGAGTGCCTTTGCATCGTTGCCACTCCAAATAAATTTAATATCCATGTTGGAACGACAAGCAGCAATGAGATATTCATTAAAATTATTGATCCATGGATCTGATCACCGCATAGAAATATGACCAGTGTCCGGATCAATCGTCGAAACAGGTACTAACTTGCGTGACATGCGGGTGTGGGTGTGGGTGTGGGTGGGTGTGGGCGTGGGGTGTGCGTGGGTGTGGATGTATGTGCGTGGTTGTACTTTTAATCCACTCGTTCACCCACACCCCGTACCCACACCCACACACCAACACCCACACCCACACCCACACCCACACCCACACCCACACCCCACACCCACCCACACCCACATCCTGAAAAAATCAGCGCTACGAACCTGAGTCCAGAGTAGTTAGCAGCAAAAGACAAGCGTTAACGACATCAAATAAAGAAGGGAATCGATTTTCACTTCATGTATTTTACTTTTAAAACACTTCGGATTGATGCATAATATTAGAATAGTAAATACTACATTCTGTAGACGACTCATGAGGCTGAAAGATCTCTATGCAAAAAATTTTCTCAGCATGCTGAGATCTTCCAAACGAAGACGGTTTACTTTTCGTTAGCGACGTGGCGGAGCCTGAATATACACTCGACAAAGTACTCTTGTAAACGAATGACAAGTTCGGAATCGATTACAGACGGTACAACTCCTCTGCTCAGAGTCTCTAGATGATGTCAAAACAAAAAGCTCTGATTTCAGCCGTCGACAGTCTCTAAAAAATCGTTTTTTCGGAAAACTTTTGCTGTTATAACTAGCTGAAAATTTTACCAAATGTGCAGCTTGTGCCGTAGAGTGTATCCTGAAGTATTTAGATTTTTTTCTCACATGTTTAGAGAAATATTTGCTAATTACTTTTAATTAATTAAGTTTAATTATTACATAGATTTCTGTTAAAAGAATTCATTGAGAGAAATAACCCATGGAAAGAATCACAGTCAAATGAAAGGGACGTATACCCCATTTTGCATGATTTTGTTCATATATATGCTGTTTTGATTCTCATGTGTCACATCCACATCTTATATACTTTCTTTTATGATCTTATTGCAAAAAAGGGTTGATATTTTCACAGCATGTACGCTGATCTTCTAGATCTACATCACGCTAAAGTTTCATCTGTCAACTTATTATTGGTTCAGTGGTCAAAGTAACATCAAAATTGTGGTGGAACGTTGTGAAGTAGGTTTAAAAACACTTCTAGCGTTATTCTTACAGCATTTAGATAAGAAATACTATGTGCTAACGGAAAACTATGTCAATGTTCTTAACCATTTATTTACTTTAATCGATCCATCATTTTGCCCCTTTTTGTGTGCATCATTAACATGTATATTCGCCATTGTTGATAGAACGTACCCATTGTAATTGAAGTTGCTGCACAAAAAAGTGTTTCGAATCTAGATTAAGTTTGTTTAAAAAGCCGAATGGTAATCGGATTAAAGAAGTCAGATATAATCAAAGGAAACAGGTAAGTCATTCCCAAACAGACTTTAAAAAGCATACGATAAGTGTTAAGACCAGTCAAAAATGTGAAATATATATTTTTTTGTTTGTTCTGTTTGATCCCGACCACTCGAGAAAAAGAACAATTTAAAAAGAATACTTTTAAGTGCTCTAGTGGAAGTCAGCTTGGCACAACAACGAATTGGGCCTGCTAATTCTAATTTTGATTATGTGAAACTTCAAAAAAACGAGTTTGAAATGCCATTTTCATTTCACAGTCCTAGGAGAATTATTTATTTTTGACATCTATTTCAATTTGATTTTATAATTTTTTAAGCAATATTTAATATGAACTGATGAAAATTAAGAGTAAAATCTGTTATTGCTCTAAATGCAAATATAGTCATAAAGGATTCTTGCGTTTTGAACCTGTGAAAATTCTTTTAAATATTAATTCTAAACTTAAGCAAAAAAATCAAGTATTTACCATATAAGCACTTTGAATGAAATCTGAAGTTTGAGACAAATTTTTTATTTTTAGTTATAGATGGAAAAGTATTTTGCTTTTGAATGAAAAAATTTTATTTTTAACTTTTAAAAAATTACTAACGAACTTCAAGGTAGGAAACAATCGTCAAAGCATCATCTTTCTATCAACTGAAAAGATAACTTTTATTCAAGAGTAGTAGTTCATATTTAGTTTAGATGTTCGACGAAAGTTAACCGTAAGAACCCATGTTTGATTTCCCTCCTTGCGGTATATTTAATAGATCTCGACGACCCGCGAATGATATAACTACGAGCCTTCGAATCATTGGAAAGTGAAAGTCTGTGAGAGATTCATCTTAAATCTCGATGCTCACGGGAAGCTGAGGTCGACGCCTTGAAATACCTATCGGATGACTGTTCGGATTCTATATTCTACTTTCGATGACTGCCATTTTTTTATTTTGTTCATTGACTTTACATTATCGAACGATGACTGAGCAATTTTTCTTCAAGAAGAGCGCAATTTCTCAAGAAAAAGACGTTACAACACTGATAAGCGAAAAATGTGAAAAGTAATTTGTCAGCAGTAAATAATCAAATCAATTGAGCATTTTTTCATTCATGAATCATGAATTGTGATGCCTGTCTCTAAAAAATGTCTGAAATTCCCATGTACTTGATCTCTTGATTATTTCTTCGAAACAACAATAAACGAAAAGATTATTTTTCCAGGAATAGATGTACAACCTAACTCTATTATAAATCAATTATTGAATAGCGGTTTGTAGATAGTTTCAGAAAAATCTCACTTATTTTAAAATACTTCATTTCGGTCGCCATAAAACTTACGGGTACTTTCAAATAGAGTTCAGTTGACATTGAATATTACTCAAAGTCACGTCTCTAGTTGATGCACTATAAAATTGTTATATGTCAACGACTTAATCAATATGTATTTAATAATAATTGCTCATACCATCTTTTTATCTAGGTCTTGTTTTTTTTTGCGACATATTTTGTTCTGTAAACTTGTAGTTACAAATACAAGAAGTTGATATTCTAAATCGATTTCGCTGGACTTATTGAACTATGTATGAATTGACAGGAAGAAAATCCTGTTTAACTGTCTTAATACATTGACAACCAAGGAACATAAACATATTTGCTTTAGCAATTTCTCGCTTAGGACAAGCAAATGTCGGTTGTCACTAGCACCAACCACTGAAGAAAACTCTGAAGATCTGAATTTCTCCGAACCATGCGATTTAAAATCAAATCCTGATATTCATCTACCGGCATTGAAAGAACTGCAAACTGAACACAATGACAATCATCCTGAAACTACAGAAAGTGTTTCAAAACTGAAGGTAATATTACTTCATTTTCTTTTCTCCCGAACGTTGTTAATGAATCGTTCATTGTGAGATGCTTGTCCTATGAAGGGATACATGAGAAAATCGCACGAATAGTTATGACGATAGTGCAAAGATTGATAGTAGAAAGCTTTTGTAATTCAAAAACTCTGTTGATAATTTAAAATATTGAAGAAAAAGTTTGCGAATCTCATTTTTTCACATAGAGTTGAACAGAGGCGGCGGAGCGATTCTAATCTAGGGAAGGCTCAAAACTTCTCAGGAACGATAGGAAGGTGATGTTCGGAGAGGGATATTTTTTAGTTTTTCCACTTTAACTTTTATCAAGGAATATCGGATGTCTCAATGTGTTTTTGGACAGCATCTATTTGACATATATACCCTTCTATAGGCGACTGATATAATCTAGGAGCGTTGTCGAAAGATGTCCTATGAAAGTTGAGAATCCTTTGTAGTTTATTTTATTGTTTTTGGAATTTCCAGGATTCATTTTAATTAAAAAATTTCTCTATTTCATAGCACAGAACATAATATAACTTTACTAAAAAAAATCCATGATTTGCAAGAATAAGCGTTCATCTTTCAGCTGTTCTTCATCTGAAGTCTCGTGTACTTTTATCTTCGGTGTTATATGCTCGTGTTTGCCTCAATTTCGTTCAGTTGACGATGAAAGAAGTACCTAAGCACAGGAACTTTCAGAAAAGTTTCGAAAAAATGAAATATAGACGCTGTTGTTGAATTCTCTACAACAATGCATCACAACGTCTTGTCCACCTGTCCTGATGAGTTCCTAGAAGAGTGAAAGATAGGATATATAAAACATTGCTATGTCGTATCATGTTGAAAGTAATAAAAATATTTGTCATACATATTTTTTCACACAAAAATCTTGAAAACTTGAATCTGTTTTTAAAGAAGCAAAATGTTCTCTTGAGTTGTCTTAATTGATTTTGAGAGAACTGAAAACAAAGACATGCAAGATACTATATTTTTAACTCTTCTAAATTAAATTTCCTCCAGTATTTAAACGAGTAATTGTCTGACTGTTCACTTTTAAGTCTTTAGGGCGATCTTCAAACACGAAACGTATCATTCTGGTATTACCATTGCATTTAGTAGTGTTTTAATACATTAAACTTGGTTTTGATAAAAATTCGGCTTTTTTAGTAGCGTTCAGTTTACTATTATCGTGAAAAATTAGAATGTGTCATACAGTTTTTCTTTTTCCGTTCTCCAAATTTATTATCATCAAGCAGGAAAACCTTTTTCTATGAATATTGTGAAGAGTTTAATCATATATCTATATAAGAAATTCATATTTTTATCATTTTTTTGAGGAAAACAGATGCAACAAAAAACAGATATTATTTCATACATTAAGCTAACGAGACTTTTTAAGTTATTTTAGACACTGTCAACAACGTATCCTTTGAAAAAGTCAAGATTTTAGCATTTGTTCATGCGAAGATACATGCCATATAAACTATATTGGTAATATTTTGTGGCCTTCACCCTCAAATTCGGAATGACGTTCCTAAAGTTTTCTTATATATCGAGTCTCTCTCAGATGTCCTTCTTGATTTTTCACTAAGACTTGAGCTTTCTTAAACGCAATTGGTGTGTCGCTTATCGTGCTATCTAATATGAGGTTGAACATACTATTGTTCAAAGAATTTTCGCATACTAAAAATAAATCCATGCTGAGATCTGTGATTTTTTTTCAAAATATGAACCTTCCCAAGCCTAATGGCTCCGCCGTCACTGGAGTTGAATAATAAGAGAAATAGATTATTTTCCTGCTATTTGACTGTTTCGCTCGAATTTTTTCTAGTTTCCATTTGTCTTACTGTTTTTATAGATCTATAAGAATGAGTTTAATCAAAGTCTTCCAATAATCGAACCCAGCAGTTTCCAAAAGAACAGGCAAGCCAAATTCGATATGAATCTAACACTTGAAGAACAGCTTAAATCATCAAAAGACGCGAACCAAAAACCTTTGTCTTTAGAAGAGAAACTCGCAAACAACCATGAATGGGATATCCTCGGCATCATGAACCTATCTTCGATGAATTTGACCGATAGTGATATGCTATTGATTATACAGAAAGCTTTTTGCGAGAATAAGTCCAAATGTATTGGGCTTATCTTGCGCAATAATGACATGACATCGATCGGTGTGAAAACGCTCGTCGATGCACTACTCGCGGTGCCAACGAAGTTGAAATATCTTAGTTTCTCGAACAACTCAAAGATAGGAGACGCGGGAATTGAATATTTGGTTCATTTATTTAAAAAAAACCGATCGATAACTTTTCTCGCCTTACCCAATACAGGTATGACAGATCGTGGAGTTCGGTTACTAGCCGACTTACTTTGTGAAGTTGATACTAATTTACCTTGTCCACCAATCGAAAAACTGTACATCTCGTTCAATAAATCGATTACTGACGAATCAATGGTAGCTGTTGTTCAAATAATTGAACAAAACCGAACATTGAAGGTACTCTCTGTGGAACACTGCAGCTTTTCTGACGAAGTTCGAGGACTAATGAGAAAAGCAGGTAGAAAAAGAAAGACAAAGAATTTCAGTCTTTCAGAGTGAAAAAGTTGATGTGAACTATGTTCCTTTTATCTTGTTCTTGTTTTGACGATTTTTAACTTAAGAAACACAGTGACGCTATTTTTTGTTATTTTTTCCTTATCTATGCTTTGCCTTCGTCGTCTGCTTATTTTCCTCTGTCGTTCTTTCATTAACATTCTTATGCTGTCTTTATCCTCATTATTTGTTTCTTTAATCTCAACTAGTTCTTCTTTCTCTCTGTCATCTGCATGTTCATTAATAAAAAGAACTTCTCGATTGTTGATATTAATATTCTAACATGGGCTTTCTTGTTCATACTACAATCTTAAATGGTACTAAGATCTAGCCGCATTGATAAATCCACCACCATGTCAATGAGTAGAATGCTTTACATAAATATTCGAATCGAGCACCCCTCGGTTGGAAATGGCTCTATACCGATAAATTACGCTTCTCCTAAACAAAAACTAAATAAACGTCGGGAACGACTATCCTAGCTACACAGTGAAAGAAAAGAAACTGAGATAGGACTGTAAGAGATACGATACGATGGCCACCACTTCTTCAGCAAATCAGGGTGTGGATGGATGCGGATGTGAGCAGAGCTAGGCGACTTGAGTCAAATTATTTTTTTCATTTACTTTGTTTTCTCTTTTGCTTTGTAAAATAATGTCAACTATAGATTTTTCGTTACGCGATATGTAGTTTGTAGCTTTTGTGTACAAGAACAAAACTAAGAAGCTACATATAAAATAAAATAATGCAACTACTCAAGGTTGATCAACAAAGTAATAGAAGTTAAGTCAACTTTTCTTTCTTATAGAGCTCTACATTACAGTAAAAAAAATCACTTTTTGATAAGCAAAAAGCTGAACGAAACTCCTTTTTACACGTAAAATCTATTTATTATGATTAAATTGATGTCTTATTGCAAATTAAAAATGCTGATCTTCAAATATCAATTGCTGTAAAGTTTGAATAGTTCCTTCTAATTAAAGCACCACTTTGGAGAAACATATTCGACTGATACTAATGTAGTATAAACATGCATTATTTTTCTAGCAAGCCTTTTGAAAAGACCAGTTTGAATTTACCTCCCTGGAAATCAAAGGATGGGTCCGGATGAGTACAAAGAACATTATACTCCGATTCACAATGTTGACAAATAAATAATGTGAAATGAATTACGGAAACATTTCGTGATCAACATTATCTTTTTTTACTGATCAAAAATACTGTCACTCAATAATTATACTAAGTATGATAAAAACTGTGACGTGTGATGTAACGCAAAGCTTTAATTCATTTCATTACATACACGTGCATACCCGTCAAAGATTAGCAGGAAAAAACATGGAAAAACTCTTATATTCAGTAATACGCCGAGGCTGACATGTAGCGCTATATCAAAACATAGGTTGAGAAAACTCCGGAAAAGAATAATTCGAATGCAATATATTCAATTAGGATGAAAGTTATGAAAAAGTGATAATTCAATCTTACTAATTGTAACTCTTTTTAGTAAGAGCAGATGAAAGTTTTTCAGAATGAATAACGTGAATATGACTCGAGTCAACGCTACCTAATTTTCACGTCCGAGTTATGATTTGAACTCACCCAGCCCTGAGTGTGGGTGTAAGTCTATCAGACTACCGTTCAACTACACGAATACCTATCCCTACCCCACACTCCTCGTTTAAGATTGGTTGTTAAGATTTACTAATGGAAAATTTGACATGAAATCCGATTGTATCTTTCCTGCTCTTATCGACGGTTTGAAATATGAAGAATGTAACGAGCCAAAAAAAATAGTCAATGAGATTATCTGTGTTTTGAATTTAACTAAAACTGAGTCTTCTACGACAAATAAAGAGAAAAAAATGCAAGAACTGTCTACCCTGGTGATTGTGCCACATGAAAAATATTTCAAATAGCTTCTATTCGTTCCGACGTCTGCCGATCGTATTGTTGCCGAACAGTTTGCATTGAATGTCTTGTCTATCATCGAAGTTGAACGATTTTTACCCAAGGATCTATATACAGATTTAGAGAAAAATGCATATTTTGAAAATGAACCAGAAATCTTATTAAAACTGGGGACATGATTTCGAGTGATCAAAATAGAGTTCGACTATATTTCCCGGCGACAAATGATCCATATAAAAAATATTTTATAGTATGTGACCAATCTAAGATGATAAATATCTATGTTCTGGTGTTTGTGTACAACATTTTTAACGCATATTTTCTGTTCGAAAGAAACACTATTTCGTTATTCTGCCAAGTAAGGACAGTGAAAAATCAAAATATGTTGTCCAAAAAGAAAACTTTCAGCATTGTTTATGATTGCATAAAATTCAAGCACAAATATGATCAAAGCATTACCTTCAATAAAAACTACCTGCTTACATTAGACCAAAGAATAATCTGTTTAACCTGATTAGTTTATAAAACGGCATTCGTCTAGAATCATCTTGAAACTCGCGATCGTTTTGTATTTCACAATCATAGTTTATCCTTGTTGCTCAAAATTTTCTCCGAGGTATATCATGTTCAAAAAAACGGCTGGCTATAGGCTCTTGCTATGAACATTAAAAAGTTTCATATCCTTTGTAATCAATGAAATATTTCGAAATAGGCGCAACAATATAATTTCTTGATAAAGACATCTTCAATCGTTATAAGATGAAACAGTTTCATCGCTAAATCTGTTGGTATTTACGTACCGACAACTCAAATAGTCCCCACACACTAAAATAAAATGTGTCGCGCTTTTGCGACACATCGAAGTGCGACACGGGGTGCTCGGTGCAACACATTTTGTCTAGCGACGGGACGATACATTCCGATTACGTAGCTCGAATCCAGTATGTATCACATTTTTCANTCAATATCTTTACTACTCAAAGATAGAATTTCATCAGCAGATGATTGAAAGTAAGGCTTTGTTGCTATCAGTTGACCATGAAAGCAAGAATCACGTCGTTGCAATAAATTGAAGACTACAAATATAAAACTATGATGTTTTTCAAAACGACGATCATTATAAGCTAGTAGATAACGTATGTGTTCTTTTAATGTTAGCTGAACTGGACGTAGTTGATCTTCAGGTACTCCAAGCCCATAACAGAACAAACTTGGATATAAAACTGCTAATAATTTTGGATTGAAATATTCGTTGACAGGTTTTGACGAATGAGGAATCAAGTAAAGATTTTCGACATCCATCTGATCCTTATTTCCATTATTTTTAATTTTGTGCAAAAAATAACTAGAAATATTTTCTGAAGATATTGACGCACCATTGACATCGAGAACACCGCTGAAATAGAAAAGTTGTATGATAAAACATTGATTCATTAATTGATCTCACCTGTTACTAATGGGAATAGCATCTGTAGGAGTATGTTCGATGGGATTGGATAATGGATCAGGAACATATCCGACTCTTTCAGATTGAATTTCTTCATCATCTAACTTTTGTTCTAATGTTGACATAATACATTCTGGTACATCGTCTTCTGGTAATTGAGCGATATTTTCGAAATTTATGTTGATATCTTTATAAAGTATATTGTTTTTTTTCAACCAATGTAATGCTTGAATAATTTTCTTCTTGCGCACTGTTAGAATTTTTTTAAGATGAATACGAACAGGAGGTCGAGCTCCAATAAAAATCACTTTAAGTGTATCACATAGATCATCAAGTGACAGTGGCAAACTATTGACAATATTTGGTACGTTTTGAACAAAGGTAATGCAATTACCCTTCAGTGCAGTTTGGGCAGTTGTAGTTGAATGAAAAGGGGAATGGAGTTTTATTATGCAGCTATTGTGACGATAAAGTGATATTAATTTTTTTTCTGGAATCGTCAATCCTTGTAATTCAACAGGTATATCACCTAACCACATATTATTGGCAGCTGAAAACTTAGGAATAGATCCCTTCGAAAGAGCACCATGACATTTTTGACAAAGGATACACATATCCACTTTATTTTGTTGAAATAAACCACTTTTATATAAGATAACATTGTTTTGACAATAAAACGACGCTGAATCAAAAGTTGAAGGATCTGAAATAATTATAAGGAGTTTGTGTGAATTTTAAAATTGAAAAACTCATGTATTACTTGCAGTACGCTCAGTTATCTCTATATTATTGTTGGTGAACATTTCTGTATCTCTTCTTGAATTTTGTAGTGATGTTGATTGAATGTTTATAATTAAATCATTGAGTCCTTCGGAAATTTTAAGTAATTGAATATTAGGAATTTTTGAAATTGAAATTTTCTTCGAGTCTTTTGCTGGAGTACGGACATTGCAAACTGCACACGTAGCTTCAGCCAGCACTGACATGGACATTTGTTCTAAAAATTGTTGTAAACGAGTTTCCTTCAAGTCACGAGGAATCGGTTCAGGCCAAGGCGGATGAATGGAGAACTGCATCTGGGTATTGCCTAGTTCAATATCGATGTTTTCATGCATCTGTTTTCCAACTTTCTTTTTAACTCGACTCGTTTGAGTTCGTTTTTTTTGTTGCTGGAGTCGAATCTGACGCTTTTCTTCTGACTCATTTGTTCGACTGGATTGAGTTTGTTCCTTGTTCTTCTCAAGTCGAATCTGACGTTGTTTTTCTGACTCATTTGTTCGACTGAATTGAGTTTGTTCCCTGTTCTTCTCAAGTCGAATCTGGTGCTGCTCTTCTGTTTCAGTTATTCGACGCGATCGACTTCGATTTCTCTCTTTGTCAAGTCGAATCTGACGTTGTTTTTCTGATTCATTCATTCGACTCGATCCACTTTGTTCTCTTTTCTTCTCTAGTCGATTTTGATGTTGTTCTTTTTTATCATTCTTTTCCTTGTTCATTGTATTTGAGGTAATTGGCTGAGTGAAGTTATTTTCGATGCTGCCTTCACTTCGAAAACGTCTGCTGGGAGAAGACTGAAATTCAGGAATTCGTATTTGAGTAACAGTATTATTCTTCAACGCTCTTTTTTCAGGAGTCTAAAATGAATTGGAAAATTTCGAAGTTTGTATTTATAGGCGATAACTTACAACCGCGAGCGATGTTGACTGATCATGATTATTAGAATCGTTTTGAGTATCTACTGGCATGAGTGGAACAAAATGATTTGGACTCCACGTACCATTATTTGCCTCTCGAGCATTTTTTTCATTTAAGACATTTGACCACATAATTACAATAATTACAATATTACAATTAGCAATAATAGGTGAAACAGGTGTAAAGACATTATCCCAAACCGCCATATATTGTTGAAAATCAATTTTTGGATAAACACTTCGTATATTGCATTGGAGTACATTGCATAGTGCCGCTATTTCATATAATTCAGAAAATGTATAATTTTTGCAAATAGCCTTGATAGCAATGTCGACAGGTCCGACATATTGTGAATACATAGTTTGATAATAAATTTCATTTATTACAAGTTCAATAATCGTCCGAACTAAAAATTATTTCAAAATAAATTGTAGAATATTAAAATGAAA